GCACGTCCCGAACGCGGGGGGGGGGGGGGGGGGGAGCAGGGTGGGAAAGGGCTTTGGGTGGCTGAGAGGGCTCTGCCGTCCCGGAGGTGTTTAGCACCGACAGACCCCCGTCGAGGCATCCCCCTGCTCGCCTCTGCCCCCCCTGCTACATGGGGGGCACGAGCTGGGCCCCCCCCCTGCCACCTCCAGTCCCACTGCCCTGCTCAAGGGCCTTGGGCAAGGTTTGGCCCCAGATTTCGGGAGCTACCTGGCACCCACTGACCCTGCCTGGGCTGGTGATGCTGCGTGGGGCTGCTGGCATGGTGGGGTGGGGGACAGGGACGGGGTCCTCCCCCCTTCTGCCACCAAAAGGGACACTGGGGGGGACAGGATGCTTGGAGAGGGAATGGGGACAGGGACGGGGCAGATGCAGCCTCCTCACACCGCTCGCCCTGGAGGGGACCTTTGGGGACCCCCCACCCTGCTCCCGGGTCTGTGCACAGCGATGGAGGAGCTGGGACCAGCGGCATCCCGGGGTGTCCCCTGGCCCCACGGGGCCCCAGGCACACGACAGCCCCATCCTGGGGTCTCTCATCCCCGTGGGGCACCAGGAGGTCAGGGAGAAGGAGTGACCCCCGGGGTGAGCTCTAGCAGCCCCGCACTCAAGGGGCAGCCAAGCCATGCCCATGCTCCTGTCCCACCCGCTGGCACCCGGCACCACCGGTGCAAACGGGCTGCGGGCAGGTCTCCCCACCACTACTGCCTCGCTCGCACACCGGGGAAACAGCTTCCACCGTCAGCAAGGCACGGGGATACCGTATCCCGCGTCCCCGGCTAGTGCCACCCTGCAGAGGTGCTCCCGGACTCCAGGCTGGTGGGATGGAAGGACAGAGGGATGGAGGGACAGACTGATGGGGAAGGAGGGCTGAGCGGGAAGGGGAGAAGCGCGTCGCGATGCTCCGTGCGAGGGAAGCGGGGTGGCTCGCCGTGACCGGGGGGTTCTGCTGCTCTGGTCCGTCCCACCAGCCAGAACACAGCTGGTCACGTG